AAATCCCTGTCTCATTGGGAAGGCACGGGTGCCGAACGCACGCAACGCGGCACAATAGCTGGATGTTAGCTCTCCGGAACGATGTCCATCCGTTACTGGTGACTCAGCCGACATGCCTCTCCTGTAGCAGTCTGGAGATTCCTCGGTTCGCTTGTGTAAAATTCTAACCAAAATTCTATAATTGTACACTTAGGCAACCGGTGTGGTTTGTTGAATTGATTGCTGAGTTCGAATGCTTTACTTGCTCATCGCCATTTTTGCTTGGCGCTCGCTTCGGTTGCAACGCGCGACTGCTCTGTGTGCTGTGTTTGCTCCGTTTCCCTAGCTAGAGCGTCCACGGTGTCGTTCGTTTATAGCTAGCTAACAGGGAATCTTTTGCTGAACCAATAAAAGTTTCCCTGCAACTCGATCTGTCTTCTGGAATCGCTCTCTGGGCTCCCGGAATAGGCAACCACTATAAATTGGTGACCCCGGATCCGGAACAATCTCAACGCCGGATATTTCGAACTTTTCTCCGGTGAGCTCGTTCCATTTATTTTTCATATTTTCCGGTTTTATTTTTGCATACGGTAGCCTATTTTTTCGCGTCATTTTTTCAAATCATGGAATCTGTAGACCATAAGGTAGAGTCTATGCTTAGTGTTGTATCTCTCTCAGTTCCACCTTTTTGGGACATGGATCCTGTTTTGTGGTTCGCTCTTCTTGAGGCCGAGTTTTATAACCACAGAATCACTTCCGACTATGCGAAGTACTGCAAGCTCCTGTCCTATCTCCCCAAGGAGATATCAATGCAGGTTCGTGACGTCATCATTTCTCAGACCGAAAACCGCTATGAGGCTCTCAAGGAAGCCACGATTAAGCGTGTTATGCCCTCTGAGAAAGTTCGCCTGCAACAGCTTTTCAGAGATCTGCAGCTGGGCGACAAACTGCCCTCAACCCTGCTACGAGAGATGCAGCAACTCCTTGGTTCCTCATCCATGGACGAGACTTTACTTCGCGAACTATGGCTACAACGGCTACCTGAAAACACACAAGCGATTCTCGCTACAGTGAGCTCCGTTCCGCTCACTCAACTAGCAGACTTAGCCGATCGAGTTATTGAACGAGCACAGCCACAAGTCGACGCCAGCAAGGTCCATGCCGTCGCGTCCCAGGGCACTTCTATCACTGGCTTACAGTCAACCATAGAAGCCCTGCAAGCACAAGTTGCGACACTTAGTCGCCAGGTGCAACAGCTTACTATGACCCGTCGTCGTCCTAGCCGCTCAAAATCGCCCTGCAAACGTTCTAAGCCAAGCAACAGACAGGCTTGCTGTTGGTACCATCAGCGTTTTGGTACCGCAGCTCGTAAATGTGTCAAGCCTTGCAACTTCGACGAGAAGCAGGGAAAACTTCGCGGCCGGTCCGTAACGGCGACGGACGCGACGGGCCAACACCAAAGTCGCCTCATCCGCGTTAGGGATTTAACTTCTGGCACCGAGTTTCTAGTAGACACTGGCGCCGAGGTTAGTGTTATACCCCGTAGCCCAAATGAGGTCGTCTCACCATCGCCGACCAAGCTGCGTGCCGCCAATGGCACACCAATCGCAACTTTCGGCGAAAAGTTGCTAACACTCAATTTAGGCCTCCGGCGAACTTTTCGCTGGCCTTTCATAATCGCTGCTGTGCCTTTCGCCATCATAGGCATAGACTTTCTTCAACGCTTCGACCTCATCGTCGACGCCAAAAGGAAGAAGCCTATCGACTCTAGGACACAGCTCAGTGTTATCGGGACTAGCGCCAACGTGGCTGCTATCACTCCCATTCGTGTCCTACCTCAAGCTTCACAGTCTTTTCTAGAGCTTTTCAGCAGGCACCCTAAACTCGTTCGCGTCCTGAACGACTTGCCTCCTGTGACGTCGAACGTCATGCATTACATTTGCACTAAGGGCCCACCTGTTTCGGCCCGCCCTCGCCGATTAGCCCCGGACAAGCTCAAAGCTGCGAAGGCGGAATTCGAGCAAATGCTCGAACTGGGGATCATCCGCCAGTCTAAAAGTCCATGGGCATCACCATTACACATGGTGCCGAAGAAATCCGGTGACTGGCGCCCCTGTGGTGACTACAGGGCACTTAACAAAGTTACCGTCCCGGATAAATACCCTATTCCGCACATGCACGACTTGACCTCAGCTCTAGCTGGCAAGTCTATTTTTAGCAAAGTCGACTTAGTCCGTGCGTACCACCAGATACCTGTGGCGCCAGACGACATCGCTAAAACCGCAGTCATTACGCCATTTGGCCTATTCGAGTACCTCAGAATGCCTTTCGGCCTCAGCAACGCTGCCCAAACTTTTCAGCGTTTCATTCATGAGGTAACGCGAGGACTCGAAGGCGTTTACCCTTATTTAGATGACATTCTCATCGCCAGCTCTTCTGACGAGGAGCATCTTCGTCACCTCGACGCACTCTTCCAACGCTTAACCCAGCATGGAGTTACCGTCAACCCCGATAAATGCGAGCTTGGCCAAAGCTCCATCGACTTTCTTGGCCACCGCATATCTGCCTCTGGTATTGAAGCTCTGCCAGACAAAATCCAGGCACTGAAGGACTATCCTGCTCCCAGTTCCTTCAAGCAGTTACGCCGATTCCTTAGCCTGGTCAACTATTATCGACGCTTTATTCCTAACTGCGCGAGCATTGTTCAACCAATGACTGACTTGCTCCGCGGTAAACAGCGGTCTTTTCACTTTGCAGACGACGCTAGACTGTCTTTCGAGAAGCTCAAAGACGCTATCTCCAACATAGCGTTTCTCGCCCATCCAGACACGTCTGCATCACTCTCCCTGACAACTGACGCATCTGACACTGCCGTCGGTGCAGTTCTTCAACAACTCATCGACTATCGATGGATACCTCTAGGTTTCTTCTCAAAGCGCTTACAACCTGCCGAATCGCGATACAGCACCTACGGTAGGGAACTGTTAGCTATCTACCTAGGTATCCGACATTTCCGTCACTACCTCGAAGGTCGACATTTTACAGTCTTCACCGACCACAAGCCATTGATCTACGCAATCAATGGCACAACGGACAAGTACTCGCCGCGGGAAACTAGACACCTAGACTACGTTTCTCAGTTTACGACAGACGTACGTCATGTCACAGGTGCTCTCAATCCCGTCGCCGATGCGCTTTCACGCATTCAACAGATCAGCTTATCGCCTGGCACAAACATTGATCTAGCCGCCATGGCTGCTGCCCAACAAGCTGATCCCGACGTAAGCAAGCCACGACGCAACACCACTGAGACGATCACCATTGATCGACTCAAGCCAGCATTCTTCGACAAGTCTGACTCGCCGGTGCAACAAGCACCTTCACAGCCTGTGCCATCACAGCTGGCACCGCAACCTCAGACGAGTCAGTCCGCTCCAGCAGAACCGACAACCACAACCGACAGCACTCCTACCCGCCCTACTCTCAATCAACGCGGTAGGAAGCTCAAGCCTAAGGTTCGTTTTTCGGACTCCGTTCGCACTTACTTTTTTACGTAGAACGTGCCTTCGAAATTTTCTGCTCTTACTAAACGTTTTTGAAAATCCACAAAAAAAGACCAAAACGTTTTGAAACTACCAAAAAAGAGCAAAACCTTTTGAAAACACCAAAACAGCTTTGCACGGTTTTCGCTTTACACTCTTTTGTGTATGGCATTGCATTTATGCTGCTTTTTCATTTTGCTTTCCATATACACCCCGTCGGTTGGTTGCCCCTCGTTTTCTCTTTCTGCTGGATCCCCGCACGTCAACTGCAAGTGGAACGAACTTCCTGTTCAACCGCCCACGTGAACTCTATTAACTGCCCCCCCACAAACAACTTGTTACCGTTTCGACACCGTAGGGAGGACACGGGTGGGAGCCCGCTAGGGTCCGATTGCATGGTTCTCCCCCAGCAGCTGCATCGGGTTTCACAACCTGGTCTCGCAGAAGGCTGGCCGGCGAGGGACAGTCCTCACGTAGATCGAAGGACTGCTTACACAGTCCCTTCTGGGAGAGGGCTATGTAGCAGTCTGGAGATTCCCCGGTTCGCTTGTGTAAAATTCTAACCAAAATTCTATAATTATACACTTAGGCAACCGGTGTGGTTTGTTGAACTGATTGCTGAGTTCGAATGCTTTACTTGCTCATCGCCATTTTTGCTTGGCGCTCGTTTCGGTTGCAACGCGCGACTGCTCTGTGTGTTGTGTTTGCTCCGTTTCCCAAGCTAGAGCGTCCACGGTGTCATTCGTTTATAGCTAGCTAACAGGGAATCTTTTGCTGAACCAATAAAAGTTTCCCTGCAACTCGATCTGTCTTCTGGAATCGCTCTCTGGGCTCCCGGAATAGGCAACCCTCTAAACTCCTTTATTCTTTGCTTTTGTATTGCGGCACAATAGCTGAGGCGTTTTCCATCTGCAGCTAACGTGTACAATTATGGTGGTTAAAAAGTAGCCTGCATGGTCATGAGGGCCGTGCACCTCGTCTCCACAAGCAATGGCCAACTGTCTCTTGGAGCTAGCCTAACTAAGTAGTCTACCTAAGTAGGCATTTTGCCAACATCCACATAAATCGCAAGCATACGGAGGATTCCAAACAGCAAATACATAATATGAAATAAAATAAGTATACAAACTGGACATTAAATGTGCGGCATAATAACAGAACAGAGCAAATCAAAGTCTGATCTGTTATAGTGATCTTGAGCAAGTGTATGTGTATGCGTAGGTATATGTGGATATCAACCAACTAGTAACGAAAAAAGAAACAAGATAGAGCAAAATAAACAGGGAATATGCGGAAGATTAACAGCTGAGAAAACGCAATAAAACATACAGCCAGATCTAGTGAAAGACGGAACAAGCATAAGAGTAAGCCACCCTACTCCACGCGTAATGACTGTTATGAACCTGCAGGATCAAAAACGAAAAAACGAACACCCAGCACTTAAGCGGTAAGCAGACATACAAGTAAATCGACACTCACTGAAATAGTTCTCTTTGAAAAGCGTGATGTTGCCATAAACGTAGCCTCTACTTGCCTCTAACTCATCCGCTTTAGTCCGCTGAACGCCAAATTTGGTAAGAAAACGGTAACGCTGATACGGAGCCCATGTGCCCTGCAGATGCAGACCAGTAACGGTGCACAACAAAGTCAAGCAGGCCACACAACAGGATACGTGGAAGGAGTCGCAGGAAACCTAAGAACGAATGAGACAACTGACCAAGTAATAAATGGTGAAAATGAAGATACAAAAAATACTAGACCCAACCGAAAAAACAGCATCAAAAGATGGTCACCGCTTTCGTGACTAGAAAAATGACGATACAAACCTTCATTCCAGTGAAGTCCGTTATCTCTTGGCTCATACTGAATGCCAAATACGGCAATGATGTCAGAAAATGTTGTTTACACAACTCTCAATGCGTTTCGAAAAACCGCGAGCTACATAAAATTCCTGTCTCAAATCGAGAGAAATGACAATGAAGAAGGGCTACTGCGTTGGCTCGGTCACAGTAATACTAACCGGATACTGCAGTTGAGGAGTGAGTGCACTAAAAATTGCCAGATGTAACGCTTGATGTGAAGTCCAAATTGTAGGACAATATGATAGTCAACAATTAAGGATCACTAGTAGAAGCAGTAGACTAAATGAAACAAATAGTTCACAGATACGCCATACTGGAAATAATCACTAACGTTTGATGTAATCAATCCTGAGGCCCTAAACCGAGTAGGACACGTACCATCCTGGCCGAATCCATCAAACAACCCATTCAAGCCTTCCTGCAACGGCATAGATTAGTCAACCATTTACTTCATACAATGAACGGCAGGAGGTATTTGATAATGCTGCTGAGGCTAATAGTCGATAGCCGGACTACCACGATCAGACGGGATCTAATGGTAGTGCGATGGTTTGCATGTTTAATGACCCATTGAGCTAAGCTGGGAGGTGCTTCGTGCACCTTCAGGGGCACACATAAACGATTGGTCAGTGGTTAATGAACAGATAATAGTAAACTGATCCTCTAGATTAGAAAGTGGAGTGACGGTGGATCCTCAGTCTTTAAAACGAGCTCCTTGTAGCTCACTGCTTAACTCACGCTGCCTAACCGTTAGGATCTTCGAATCATAGGTCTTGGTTTAGAACTCCAATCGTTTTTCTGTCTAGGCCTGTGCAACCCGATAGTATCTTGCCCACACAATAAGGTGGACTCTTCGAATGATTTCTGGTTGCTCCGATCGCCACAGAAGAGCAGCAACGGCGCCGTATCTGCCACATAAAGCGGAGTGGATAGAGGTGAGGATGCTACTTCTCGAACTCTCAAGTTCGCTTATTCGCTCTCACGACTTTTCATCCTTATAGTACCGCCCAAGTTCGCTGTTATCGCCCCGGCTACAACTAAAAAATTCTTGGTCACTCCACCATGCTTTGATAGCCGGTTCGACTCACATACAGGCGCAGAGCGTCACGCTTATCATGTCCACAAGTTTATTTCCATCCAGGCGGACAGGCTCAGTTCGTCCGCTTCCATTTCGAGCCCTCCATTAACGCCATGACTGAAATGGCTCAACGGGTGCACTTTGTTACAGATCGGACAATAGGCAGTACTTACTGTAACGTTGAAGACGTCATCAATCGATATTCGCTGCCTATCGGAAACATGACTGCAAGATTCGAGCTCTGTTCTCTTTCTGTGGTCGCCTTAATGTGACACTGGAGGACATTATCTTATTGTCTCTATCAGGAAAATGCAACCTCGAATGCCGGTTAAGCTGATGTGGCTATTGCTTTATGCCTCCGGTATGAAGCTGATATGCTCGACAATATTCTGTATTACTAATTGGTTCGTTCAAAGCTCAATAGGTGATTGTTCGTCGTTACTACCTATTCTCTAAAAAAAACTGTAGCGACGGATTAGTATGTATGTATATATGTATGTTGCATTCTTGCATTCTTGATGCTTCTTCACCGCAGTTGGGCTAAACCAACTTACACTTAAACTAAGTCTTTTTAAGCTGGATAAATTTCATTCCGCTTTCTTTTGTTTGTTCTGCCTCCCTGAATAATGTTCTATTAACTGGCCACGTTGCTTACACTAATTGCGCTTATCTTCGGTAATCTTGTTGCGTTTGTAGCATTTTAAATAACTTGTGGACATTTCTTACTTATCACGGATTTGTTGCTAACCAAATTACTTCGTATGGTAGTTTAGCGAAGAGTTATGCCACCGTATCTGTATGCATTATTGGATTTATTTTATTTCAGCTTGTCGTTTAAAGTGAATGGCTGTTGTTTGATATCCCTGGTATGGTTGCGCTTGATGTGCATGTTGACAAGGTGCCTACCTGTCTATTACCCACTACATCGTTCATACTGGCTCCAGGAGGCAGTTGGTCGTTACTGGAGGGGACGGGGTGCACGGTTCTTGTGGCCGTGCTAGGCTCAAAGAGCGGTTCCATGCACTCAGTGTGGAGCGGACTACGGTCCAGCCACCACCTTGTGTGCGCTTGATTCCCCCAATACAGTGTGCTTGTGTTTGTCTGTGAAGGAGTGTAGGCCGGCTCCGTTGATGAGACGTGGTTCCCATCCGCATGCCTCCCGGTCTTATTCCTTCGGGTTTACACTGGATATGGAGTATGTGGTTGGAGCTGTGGGTGGTGCAGCGCAAGCCATCCATGGTCCCTCTGTAGGCGCAGGCGTCCTGTGGCTTGCCACAGTGACAGGCGAATCCGAAACCGGATGCCGCCAACCAATCTCAGCGGTCTAGTAACTAGACATAGAGCCAATAAAAACCATGGAAATCAGTGGATAGGAGAGTCATTGCGTTATAATCATCGTGGCATGCTAGTTGAAGGTGGGCAACACACTTCAGCTAATATGCCGCAAGAAAATGGAATATTTTGGCAAAAATACAGAACAAAACATTTTTAGTTTGTTTGTCACACGCCGATTTTTCTCTTTTTTGTCATTTTCAATATTAGTAAAATTAAACATGTGAATCAATACAACACTATCACAATTCTTCCACTGATTCCGGTTGCGAGCCATGTCTTCAAGAGTCCTAAGCCATTGGCACTCCTCATCTTTGGGTCCCCATCCTGGAAGACGTACGGGTCCAACAGCGGCTAGACGCGACGTCAGCGATTTCATGTGCTGCCGCCAAGTGGAAGGCTGACCACCACGCGGTCGCTTCCAGCCAGGTCCTTGACGAGCGAATAGAGCGCGACGCGGTAGACGCTCAGGTGCCATGCGTAGGACATGACCGAGTCATCTTAACTGGCGCAACAAAGCCAGTTTGTTGAAGGAAATACTTGCATTCCCCAAAATGCGACGTCGAACGTCATTACTGGTAACTCGATGTTGCCACCGGACACGAGCGATCCTCCATATGAATGAGTTCCTTCGTCACAGAAGCATGGATACTATATCGCTGGCTGCTGATTTGACCGCAGAAGGTGAAAATTGTCCACTGATGAGCTGCATGTTGTAAGGTTCCGTAATGATAACAGAGAGCGGTTGTTACACCTATATAAAGATTCACGTCTATTTCTCGCAAGTACTAACTTCCGACACCACCTCTCGAAGAGTGAGTTGGCACCCGACAGCCTCGGACCAGTTTTGAACACAATTTGATCGTGCCGCGATCAGTTACCACTGAAGAGGCTGTGTTGAAAAGTGCCGCTCGATTTGGCAACGATGCTGTGAGCTTATTGATATCAGCCAACAGGCGAGGCCAGGTGTACGGAATGGGTATAAAACTACGCTGACATTCGGGTAGTCCAAGGAAGGTTTAAACGCTCGCCGACACATTCGGTCTGGTAGCGAACATAAGAAGACTTGCTCAGATTTCATAAAAATACTGCGGGCTATCCTAAAGAAAGATTGCAAAGCCTGGTAGTTAATTCGTGCATCGGGGATGGAAACAGCCGCTAGTCTTGGTGAGCACCGGAAATCATTGCCATACGAGAAACCGGAAGCTAGAGAATTGATTTTAGCGAGACTACAAACGAGGAGAGTGAACAGCCAATACACAACTTGTCAAACCGATTAGAAAGTTGGTCCAAACAATATGAAAAGAAGCGTAATCAACCAGTAACCGGCCTCATTAGTGGCCAGTAGTCTCTACTCATCCTGGGACGTCCCGCTGGACCTGCTCTCACGTGCGGAAGTCGAACATGAAATCAGAGAGTTGAAAGTAAACAAGAACGCAAAATCAGATGGACATCCCCCAGATGTTTTCAAATTCGAGGGACCAACTCGTTGATAATTTGCGCAGCTTACTAATGAAGCTGTGGAGGCGGGAGACTGACCCAACAGATTAGAGCCGATAGACATAGTCCCAAATTTCAAGGGAGGTTGGTGACGACACCTAAAGCTTCACAGAGATCGTTTACATAGATGGGGAATAGCAACGATAAAGGACCGGGCTTTGTAAGATGCCGTTGAGGTTTGTCTAAATGACAAGCTACGTCTGCACACTGTTCGCTTTCCAAGAATGAAGACATAAAGTGAAGAGCGATTCCAGATACACCGTTACAGCTCAGTTTCTGCGATGGTAGCAAGTGAGGCACAGCATCAAATCCTTACGAAAAATCCAAGAAATGCAAGTCTACCACATGGCCATTGCCCACTACATCATCTCAATTTAAAAATTCGTAGGACACGGAAATTTTTCGGAATATGTGTTGTGAATTGTTGGGAATATTAAATCGATTCAAGTGATCCTTCAATGAATCTTTACCAGCTTTACATGCGGTTTGACTATGGCGCGAGTTTGACTGGTCTGTAACATGCAAGTAGACTCCCGACGTCACTAGCTAGATGATAGCTCCTTCCATTCAAGTTCAAGTGGGACAGGAACGATAACATAATCCCATGGATGTTCCATGGTGAAAGTGTCGTTGATCCGGAGTGTTAAGGTGAATCGATTTGTCTTCTGATGGTGCATAATCGGTACGCGGATCACACCGCTGCTAACGAATCAACGCCTATGTGTCCTGCAACAGCAGTCCCCGCTGTGCCAGCCAGGTGAAACAGAAAACAAAACGGAAAAGAAAAATAAACTGGAATAAACGGCAGACAACGTAAAAGAAACAATGGAGACCAAAAAAGGAGTGGGAAATGGTAATTCAGGTTGATGTGCTCATTGGGTTCATTCACTGAGTTGTAGAGGGCAGAAGCGAGAACACATATTAGCCCATCATCTCCAACACTAAGGGCAGGTACGTCGTCACGACCCGGTAGTCCTCAGGGAACCGGAGCCGTCGCAGTAGGACAGTGCGGCCTTGGTGTCATGAGTAGGTGTATCTAAGAGCAGTTTGAAACTTTCATCGGTCGTCGCATCAACAACATTCACCGATA